AGTAGGGGACTTTAACACCCCACTGACATCACTGGATAGATCTTCCAGACAAAAAATCACTAAGGAAATAGCAACCCTAAACAACACACTACATCAGATGGATTTAATTGACATTTACAGAACATATCACCCTTAAGCTGCAGAATATACATTCCTCTCAAGTATACATGGGTCATTCTCAAACATAGACCACATGTTAGGACACCAAGCAAGTATTTACAAGTTCAAGAAGACTAGCAGCTTTGCTCATCTGCAGATGAGCTTTCCAAGTCATCAGGACATGGTGATTGATATCATATCAAGCATCTTCTCAGATCACAATGGCATGAAATTAGAAATCAACGACAATAAAAACACCCAAAAACATTTAAACACATGGAGGCTAAATAGCATTTTCTTAAACATGAATGGGTTACCAATGAGATCAAGGAAGCAATCAAAAACTTCCTGGAAACAAGTGAAAATGAGCCCACAACAACCCAAAAGCAAAAGCAGTCCTGAGAGGGAAGTTCATAGCACTACAGGCCTACCTCAAAAAAACAAGAAAGTTTTCTAATAAACTAACCTTACAACTTAAAGAATTAGAAAGAGAACAACAAGAAAAACCCAGAGTAAATACAAGGAAATAATAAAGATCAGAGTGGAAATAAATGACATAGAGACTAAAAAAACAGTACCAAGGATCAAGGAAACCAAGAGCTGGTTCTTTGAAAAGAAACAAGATTGATGACCCTTTAGCCAGACTCATCAAGAAACAGAGAGGACCCAAAATTTAAAAAATCAGAAATGAAAGACATCACAGAAATACAAAGGATTCTAAGAAAATAGTATGAACGACTATATGCCACCAAGCTGGACATCCTGGATGAAATGGACAAATTCTTAGAAAAATACAGTCTTCCAAAACTCAATCAGGGAGAGTCAGAAAGCCTGAATAGGCTGATAACTGCTGATGAAGTTGAAGCAGTAATCAAAGGGCTCCCAGCACACAAAAGCCCTGGCTGGGATGGCTTCACAGGGAAGGTTTACCAAATATACAAAGAACTAACACCTATACTCCTCAGACTATTCCAAAATATCCAAGAGGAAGGAACACTTGCAAGCTCTTTTTACGAGGCCAGCATTAGCCTAATTCCAAAACCAGATAAAGGCACTACAAAGACAGAGAATTACAGGCCAATATTCCTGATGAACATAGATGCTAAAATCCTCAACAAAATATTAGCAAATTGGATCCAACAATACATTAAAGAGAACATACACCATGACCAAGTGGAATTTATTCCAGGGATGCAAGGCTGGTACAATATTTGCAAATCAATAAATGCGATACATTACATAATCAAATTTAAATACAAGAATCATATGATCATATCAATAGATGCACAAAAAGCATTCGGCTGGCAAGGCTATGACTCAGCTCTTCTGCCTGGGCATGGGCAGACCAGGCTCCAGGGGCAGCAAAACCCCTTGTTTGAGGACGCAAATCAGGCAGACCTGTACCCTGCCAAGTTCTCTGGTCTGACTGCACCACCAACTTGGTTCTGCAGACGAGCAAAGCTGCTGGTTGGGACGACTACTTGGGCTCTGCAGGTAGGAACTTGGTCTGCCAAGATTCGCGTGCTGGTGGTTGGGAGCCCCTATCCCCTCCCATCACAATCAGATTCCCAGTGGTTAAGCCCCACATTCCCCTGCGGTCCCTGTCGGGCAAAACCAGAGCAGGGGCTCCCATGAAATGATCCACAATTTGGGGGTTGGGGGCTGGATGTCACCCCTGGGCTCCCTTCTCCCTTTGGGGAAACCATAGGCTCAGGGGAGACGTCTTGGTGTGCAGTCAGCATGTGGCCATGCTTTCCCCACTAAGGCCGTCTCTCCTGCCCACGAATAGCTGTCAGTTGTTTTTCTTGTGAGGGGGAGCAAATCAGGAACCTATGTTGTCATCTTGGTGATGTCACTCCCCTTACTCTGTGTTGAACAGTCCTGAGGACTTTGCATGGATTAACTTCTTTAATCCTCACAACCACCTTATGATACTACTATTAACCCCACTTACAAATGTGAACACTGAGGCACAGAGAGAATATGCTTGTTTCACGCCCCCTCTGCTTTTAACCGAGAGTGGGACTCACCAAATTGTCCCGCTGCTTCCTGCCTCCCAAGAGCAGGCGCCCCCTTCTCCATAACGGCAAACAGTGACTGTGCCTGTGTGTGCCTCACACCTGCTGGAGGTGGCAGATTCAGAGGAAGTACAGGCATGGAAGACAGGAGATGGAGAGGAAGGAGGCACAGGCGTTTCCCAAGTCATCAGGACATGGTGACAGCTTTCACTTCCCACCTCCGCTGAAGAGCTGGCACTGGCCACCCCACCCCTCCCCAGACCAGCAC